AAAAAAAAAAATTACTAAAATGATAACATCTTACCTCAGTATCTAGTTTGACTGGCTTTAATGCTTTCAGATTTGCATTATGCTTCTGTTTCAAACAAAAAATAGTATTTTTTAAATAAAAAGAATTAGCAGTAATTTTACTAACAAATCATAAGAGGTGGCTGTATACTCAGAAGTAGACTTTGCAGGAGAGTTCCAGTGGTTCAGCCAAACATTCTCAGTAGAAGCTAAGAACCTGTTCTGATCTGCCTGTCCCCCTGAAACGTCACATGCAAACAGGATCTGTGCCTACAGACACTCTCAAGTTTCCAGGAACAGACCTCTTCCACAGTTCTCAGACTCCACTTCCTCATGCAGCACAATCTCTTCCCCTTTCCTTCTAAAGCATAAGTAATACTCAGGACTAAATAAAGTCTTAGTCATGTACTACTGCACTGATTTTTTCCATCAAAGATAATACTGATGTGTAAGAGGGACTTGGAGGCTGATGTAGCTAGTAGCAAGCTGATCTAGGGTGCAACCCATATAAATGCTGGTGTGATGATGTAGCCGATTACTCTGTCTCACTTTGCTGAAATAGCTGGAAACAAATACTGAGACTTTGATCTTTTTATGGGTTTCCTTCTTTTAAGTCATGGACTTACGCAAAATATCCATCTGGCTGCGAGTCAAATATTGGCTCAGATTAAACAACAGTCAGTGGTACCGATGAGTGGAATACCTGATAAAGCACGGCTTGCCAACTGCGCAACCCGTCGACAGAGTAACACAGGATTCGTTTCAAATCAGTTTGCATCTGGGGAGCAGCAGTTCCTGGCTTTGACTTCATGTCCTGGTGCTCTCGCTGTGCAAAGACAGCAAAAACGAACAGACGTGGGAGCCACAGCCCACACTCAGGAACTGCACAGGAGCGCAGGGGCATGGAAAGTACAAAGTTGGTGACGTAACTTGGAGAGGTAGGAGCCACTGGAGGAGGCTGGATGATAACAGTGCAGGACTGAGAACCTTGCCTGAGAATCTGAAAAGAGCTGCTATTTGTGGGAGTATTTGGACAAATTAAGCTCAGTAATGCCTGCAGGGGGAAAAAAAAGGCACTATTCATTGTGAACAGCATCAGAAATAAGCTCCAGGTGAGGTCTCCATCTCTCACTTCAAGAGTCTGAGCAAAAATCAAGTACTACTGTGAAGTCCCTACTGCAATTTGCTGCTCAGTTTAGCTTTCATGCCACTTTTCTTCTCCCATCCCAAAATTTTTAAATATTCTGAATCTTATGAATGTCTGCCCAGATTAGATGCTGTAATTCTGCCTATTAGAAATGCTCATCTCAGATTGAAAGATTTAGCAAAAAGTATAAGAACTGACACTCCTGTCATTTAAGTTTGACCATATTGCATATTAGAGAAGCAATTCAAGAAATACTGGTTTTAAGGCAGTCTTAAAAGAAGAAAGGAACACAAAGCCAAACTAGATTTGTGCGTAAATACAAATTTTGGGCTACAAGGCATGGCAAATATTTGAGCTGCTGAGTGAAGGGTATTCAAGAAAACCGGCACGCTAGCACAGGTAAGTTTTTCTATCCACAAACAACTAAAGAAACCTCAGAATGTTTGTCAGATTTGTAGTCTTCTCCATTCTAGTGTTCACTCATGCTATTTGAATAGAAGAATTGGTAAAAAACAGATAAAGCAGTTAATCCGCTTTTAAAACATGATCTGACATCTAATACTGTAGCGAAAAAATATACCTGTGCCTTAAGCACATACATGAAGCACCACTACTGCTCTGTCCTCAACTATGGTATGGCCTAGAATACCACTCATTACCAGCAAATAGCACAGTCGCAATTAAACAGATGTAACAAAAGAGGTAATCTAATTAGATCAACAGGAACAGTGCGGCTTGGGGACAGTGTGGGCATTAGCCAGGCACAGCAGAGCACACCTCTGTGACGGCAGTAGGGAGAGAAGAGGCAGTACCGAGAGCCACAGCACTGGGCAGAGAGGCAGTTCCAAAGGTTAATGCATCAGTTAGGCAAGGAAATTACTCTGTGAACAAACTCTGTTGTCTCATGGACGTAATCTGCATTTCCTGTATACTTCCAAACTGTCTATTAATCACAACTCCCCCAAATTTATGCATCTTGCAAAATTCAAAAATAGACAGCAATCTTTCAAATGACAACAAAGCAGGACTGTTTAGAACCTGGGAACAAAGTTTTTATTGAAAGTATTTTTAAAAGGCATATGAATCAGTAAGTGGGAATCTGACTTCAAACATCTCCTCTTTAAATTTTGGCTGAAGTCCAGAAGCTGTTTTCCAGCCTCAATATTTAGTTCCATAACTGTGCAATTCACCCATGCTCTCCCAGCCTAACATGATCTTCCACTTAAATCTGCAGATCGGATTCATAATGTACCACCTTTTCTC